CCGCGGCCCAGGGGCCAGCGGGGGGGCGGGGGCGGATGGCGGGGGCGGCCAAGGGGCTGCGCGGCCGGGCCAGGGCGGGTTTAGGGCCCTTCTCTCCGCCGCCCGCGGCCCGCGGGAGGCCCGGGCCGCCCAGCCCTGAGCCCGCCTCGCCTTTCCCTCCGCAGCAGCAAAGTCTCCCGGGACACCCTGTACGAGGCGGTGAAGGAGGTGCTGCAGGGCAGCAAGGTCAAGAAGCGCAAGTAAGAACCCCCAGAGCCCCGGCCGGGCCCTCCCTCTCCCGCCGGGCTCTCACCTCCCCCGCTGTCCCCTTCCTTCAGGTTTGTGGAGACGGTGGAGCTGCAGATCAGCCTGAAGAACTACGACCCGCAGAAAGACAAGCGTTTCTCCGGCACCGTCAGGTTGGGCTTCTCGTAGCTCCCACCCAGCCCTTCGGCCCGCGCCCGGCCCTGCCCCGGCGGGGGGACGCGCTGCTGAACTGCTCGGGTAGTTCAGACCGCCCCGGTTAGGTGGGTTTGTCTGGACGGACCTTTACCCTGGGTCTTAAAACATGAGGGGAGGTGTGGGAGGCCTCTGGGCTCTCCCCACCGACCTGCTGGAGAGGGCAGGTTAGAAGCTGGAGGAAGATTCCCAGGCGCTGGGGTAAGGTATCCCGTGGTGGCTCCCAGGGAAGTGCCTGTGGTGCTGGTGATCCATAGTAAAACCAGATCTTCTGTCCCCAGGCTGAAGTCCACTCCTCGGCCCAAGTTCTCAGTCTGTCTGCTGGGGGACCAGCAGCACTGTGATGAGGCCAAAGCTGTTGACATCCCCCACATGGACATAGAAGCTCTGAAGAAACTCAACAAAAACAAGAAGCTGGTGAAGAAGCTGGGTGAGTGGTGCTTTGAGTTGGGCTCTTGAGTACCCTGGCTGGTTTGGGAGGGCTAGGATGGTTTCCCCTGTGCTCAGATTTGCATGTGGGAATAGGAAACTGACCAGAGTCAGCCTGAAGTGCAGGGGTCTGTCTAGAAACTATGACTAGAAGCTCCAGGAGGGAAGTTGGTGGCTCTCCAGGGGAACGTTCTTGTCTCCCTGGAAGTGTTACCCTTAGCTGGTGTTCCTCACTTTCCCAGAAGTTTCCTTTAGTCCTGCAGGACTTCCATGAACAGAGTGAAATTGGCTGATTTTCACGTGGGAAGAGATCAACCCCTTCCCTTCCACAAAACCAAAGTCCATACCTTGGGCAGAGAAGAGTAACTTCCTGCTTCATCCGAACCATGTGCCACCAGGAGATGATGTAGGACTGAGCCTCTCCAGGAGGTGTGATCCATCCATCCATCCCTGTGAGCACAGGCTGTGACAGGAGCTCAGGGAGTTCAGTGTTTGGCACCTGTGGCTGGACACACAGTTCAGGGAGATGAGCTGGGTGCAGTTTAGATGCAGAGCTGGGTGCTGGTGGGTGTGGCTGCTGTGCCAGGAGTAATTTCTGATACAACATTAGTAAAACCAGCTCAGATCCAGCTCAGCAGGACTCTTGGGAATGTGGAAGTGCACGTGGGGGAAACAAGGAGGGTAGTTTTGGCCGAGCTGTTGGTCTCGAGCTCAGGGTGGGATCCTGACCCCGTGGTTCCCTCCTCACAGCCAAGAAGTACGATGCCTTCCTGGCCTCTGAGTCCCTGATCAAGCAGATTCCTCGGATCCTGGGGCCGGGGCTGAACAAAGCTGGGAAATTCCCTTCCCTCCTCACTCACAACGAGAACCTGGTGGCCAAGGTCGATGAGGTCAAATCCACCATCAAGTTCCAGATGAAGAAGGTAAAGCAAGGGGTTTCTCCTCCCAGGCAGCTGTGCCTGAGGCTGCTCTGTGACCCGCAGTGCCTTGTCCGTGGCTGCCATCTCCGGGCTGGGCTGTAGGTGTCCCTCGAGCCTCTTCCTAAAGCAGCAGCTGGTGACAATCTCCAAAGGGAGACACTACCCAGAGTGTTCAGCTGCTGGAGAGGAGGAGCCTGTGGTTGAAAGATCTTGAGAGCAAATGATAAGGGGTGATCTTGCTGTTCCAGTCCTGAGTGCAATCAGTCATAGTTAAACCTTCTTAAAATAAGTGGGTGACACAGGAAGGGTGGGATGTGTCCCCGTGGGTCTGTGCACTGCAGGAGCAAGTTTAGGACTTGACTCTAAACTTCAGGGCAGCTCTGCAGGTCTCTTGCTGTCAAAGTGAGCTCAGTCTCTCAAACCAAAAGAACCCTGCTCAGGCACTGGGATCTCATGTCACTGGTCTCTAAATGGGACTGGTGGGTGTTAACAGCTCTGCTTGCTGAGGTGCATCCTTAGACCCCAGCAGCTCTGGGCCTGGGGGCACAACTGGGAGGACACAGCAAATGTGACAATTTGCAAATGCTGCAGCATTTTAAGGAGCTGAGCTAATGATGTCCTGACACTTGGCCTGTCAGCTTGTTCATAAATCCTTTTGTCTTCAGCCTGTGGGGAACATGGACTTCCAAGCTCCTCAGTCAGGCTGGCAGGCTTGGCCTCTCTGGATCTTCTGTGTGGGAGGAGGGGGCTGGTGCCCAAACACAAAGAGAAGCTGGTACCATGCTTAGCAGGGAAGTTCTGTGCTGGGTTCTCAGGGCACACAGCAGCCCTACCCCATGAGCAGGGTTACCCCAGAGCCTGCCCCAGCACAACTGGCCTTGCCCAAGTCAGCTTTGCAACTCTGAAGAAGCTGAGCCTACCCAAGCTGTAGTTAGAGGTGGTATCTAGATGCTGTCAGACAAGTTCATGGTGTCCACCAGCCAAGTACAATGAGCTCTGGGAACACCTGGGGATGAACTGGAGAAGTTCCATCCAGCTGACAGAAACTGGATCATTTGATGAGTTTAGCTCAGCTGTAACACTTCATTTCCCCTTAAAACCTCCACCTGCAGGAGTGACTCTGGTGTCTGTGTCCCCCAGGTGCTCTGTCTGGCTGTTGCTGTTGGTCATGTGAAGATGACAGAGGATGAACTTGTCTATAACATCCACCTGGCCATCAACTTCCTGGTGTCCTTGCTGAAGAAGAACTGGCAGAACGTCCGTGCCCTCTACATCAAGAGCACCATGGGCAAACCCCAGCGCCTCTACTGAGGGGGCAGCAATAAACACTTTTTAGGACAACCTACAGCTTGTCTGGTTGGTTGGGTTCCTCAGGAGCTGGTTGGGAAGGGTTTGCTGAAGAGCTGCTCACTTCCTTGGAGTGAGAAAGGTCTCAAATGCTGCATTGAGCTGGGAGGGGTGGGAGTTAAAGTGGAGTGTTAAACTTTGGAGATTCTTGAGGCAGGAGCAGGGTGGGGAGGTGGAGCAGCCCTACTCAGGCCCAGAACAAGGAAAGCTGGAGGTGGTCACCACAGCTGAGGGTGCTTGTTGTTGGTAGAACCCCCAGCAGAGGCGCTGTAGCCCTAAATTCCCTCAGGTCCCCTGCAGAAGGACCCTTACCTTGTGTTGAAGCCCTTGCAGGGGCAGGACTCTCCTTCCAGCAGCTTCTAAGGGGGCGGGCTGGGGGGCAGTGGCATTTATAGGCTCCTGCTGCCCCCACAACACCCAGTGGTGGGGGTGGGTGGGGCCTGCCCAGCAGTAGCTTGTGAGGGCTTGATGAGTCCTCCCAGCTGCCCCCAGTTACCCCCAGAATCCAGTGGAATGTGGGGTGGGAGCTGCTGCTTTGGGGCCAAGGTAACGAGTGGTTTCCACCCTCTCTGCTTCCCTCCCTTCCCAACACCCTGTTCTGGGCTAAAAAGGAGATATTTTGCATCTAATTAACGTATAGAAAGAAATACATTGTGTAATGGGGGCTGAGCTTATGGCTTATGTAGGATTTAAGCTGCTGGGGAGGGAAGGGGGGTGAAAACCCCCCCCTTAGACCCTTGCAAAGAGCTGGTCTGAGCATCCAAGGGAACAGAACAATGAAAATAGCTTTGGATCCTGCTGTTAGAAACCTTTAAAATAAGCATCAGAGCCAGTTTCTGAAAGATCAACACAACACCAAGAAATTCCATTTAATAATTAAAAAAAGACAATACAAAAAATGCAAACATTTTTTTCCTTTTTTTTTTTTACAAAGTTCAGATACTTTTTTTTTTTTCTTTTTCTTTCTTTTAATCAAGTGCAAATAACTTCATGAACTACATCTTTCTCATTAATAGTTTGTGTTTTATTTTTTGCTGGAGATGGCAAGTCCTGGCCTGCTGCAAAAAAAGGCAAATATAAATATTCCAACATGAAGGAAAAAAAAATCTTTAACAACAAAACCCCCACAAAAAAAATTCCGCCCCAACAATCATTTATGTTCACTGCGTTGAGACATTCAAGGCATCTGAGGTGGCTGAGGATGCAGTTTTTTCAGCCTTTCAAACCTTTTCTGGGTGGTGGGTGAAGTGGGACCAACCCACAGTGAGGGGAGGTTGGTTCTGGTGGCCCCGTGGACCATTTTTTGTGGGGGGTTTATCTGAGTTCCTGGGTGAAAGGAGGAGAAGTTGTTACCAGGTGGGTTTGGCTGCTACAAGAGGCTGTGCTGCCCAACTTGCCCTTCCAAACCAGGTTTAGGGGAGCACAGGTGGCCTGTGTGGTGACAATGGTGACAACCAGGACCCCTCTCAAGGCTCTAGCAGGGTTTGGGGTGGCAGGAGCCCTGATAAATCACAAAGAATGAACAAACTCCATGAGCACCAGCAGCTGCATCCCAGCAGGGTTAGTCATTCCCGGGGTGTTCTGCTCTCTTGCTTTTTGGTTGGTTTTGTCTTTTTTTTTTGTCTTCTAAATATGAAAAGACCCTTTCAACGGGCACTGCTGCCACTGCCCTGCAGCGATAAAAAATAACCAACAAAAAAACAACCTCCCCCCCACCCCTACAACAGCTTTTGTGCATCAAAGCAGCTGCTGCCAGACACCAACCAAGTGACAAACAGCTCAGCCCACAGATGTGGAGCTTCCCAACGGGCCGGGAACCGGGCAGCAGAAGGGGTGAATCCACAGCTGGGATCCATCAGGACAGACTTTTCCAACCATGGGGACAAACCTCAGCCCCCTTTGCCAGTGTTCACCCAGCCTGCAACCCCTTGTAGAGCCCAGAAGCAGCTCTGGATCAGCCAGGGAATGAGGAGGGAAAAGGGATGAGCAGCTGTCCCCGGGGTTCGGCACGGACTGAGCCAGGGGGACGTGCAGAGCAATAAATAATAATTGGTTCATTAAGAGCAGGGCTTGCATCACATGTGGTCAAGGGGACAGCAAGAGAGAAGAGGGGGACAGGAGGGGACCTGGCAGGAGGAAAGCTTCAGGCAAGTCACCCACATTCAGTCCTGGCAGCTCCAGGTCTTTTGAGAGCGTGAAGATGGGGAGGAAGGTGCAGGGAGGTGAGGCCAAGAGCTGGTGGCAGGGCTGGAATGGGCACAGTTTCCCACAGGAAGAGGGATGAGCAGTGGCAGCAGCTGCCTGTCCCTCTGTCTGGCCACATGAAGATACCAGGGGGTCAAACCCATCAGTGATGTCCACCCAGCCATTGTACCCAGCCATGCCTGCTGGTGAAGCTGGGGGAGGCAGGTGGTGGTGAGGGGGGGTGGCAGGATGGGCTCCCCCGGGACCTGCTCCCTGCAGCATTCCAGCAGGACAAGCATGCAGGGACACACGCAGCTGAAAGCACCTGAAGGGACATGGAAGCACAAAGTGCACCAAAAGCTGGGAAGGGCACAGACCTCCAGACCTGGGGGAGAGAGTTTGGGGCTCTCCTGCCACCGTGTCTCCTGGACCCTGCCTCAGAACCTGTCCCAGCTCTCCCTCAGGTCTCTGCTGGTCCCTGAGCCCCTGCAGGGAAACAGGTGAGGGCAGAGCTCTGCATCTTCACAACAGAGCTTCAACAACCCTCAAACCACAGAGGATCAGCCCAAAACCACATCTCCTCCTCCACTCCCTCCAGCTCCTCCACGGACAGACCGAGACGCCTCGAACCCCCTGCGACAACTCACCCATCACCGCCGAGCAGCAGAGTCACCATCTCCCCCAGAACAGGGGCTTTATCGGGGACAAATGCAGCAAGAAAAGGTTGCAAGGCCTTGAAAACACCATCCTGCCAGTCAGTGGCAGCCCAGGGCTGGGTTTGCTTTGGGTGGGTGGTTGGTGTTTTTTTTCTTTCTTTTGTGTTACAAACGGCACATTCTCATTTCTCAGGCAGGTATAAATATCGTCGTTTCTAGTATTAAAAAAAAAAACCCCAACAACAACAACACAACAAAAACCAAACAAAAAAACCCCAAAACTCCCCTCTAAATAATATAAAGAAGACTCAAAATGATTGCACTTAATAACATATGAAAAAGGTAGAAAGGAGGATATCCTAGTGCACAAACATTTACTCCTGCTCTTCACAAAGCTTGCTTTTTTTTTTTTGTCTTTTTCCGAGTTACTCTTTGGCAGAGCTTGTAAGAAAAGTCTGGTTTCTTGGCACGAGTGTCTGGGATGGGGAGGGCAGGGGTAGAGAGGGGGGGAAACAACCAAAAAACAAAACCAAACCCGGCTGAAAAGTCCTTCTCCTTTGCTCCCTGTTTTCTCCCGTGCAGCCAGACATTGTTCTCCGGGAACGTGGCTTGGCTGCGCTTCCCTCCCAGCGCGGTTCTCCGGCGGGACGGGCACCGGAGCCCCCACGGCTGCTGTTGGCTGGTGAGCTTTGCTCAGCTCTCCTTTCCATTTTCTTTTGCATCAAGTTTGCTTTTTGAAACATTTTTTTTTTTCTTTGCTCTCCAGCTCTGCAAAAACGATGCTGACACCCAGGAACTGGGAGAAACTCGGTGTTAAACCTTCTCGCCATCCTCCGCCAAAGGGCTCGGTGGGGCTGCGGCCGGTGCCAGCCCAGGAAAATGATCCCCCACACACACCCCATGTCCCAGGCTGCTGGTGGCACTGGGAACAGGGATAGATCTGGTGAAGGAAACCAAAGGGAGGACAGAGGTTGGTGAAAGGACCACAGCTTCAGTTTCCTAAAATGAAGAAGCTGCATC